ACATACATACACATATATACATACACATATATACACATATATGTATATATACACATATATGTATATATGTATGCATATACATACATATATGTACATATACATATGCATATACAGTACATACATATACACATATGTGTATATATATACATACATATATATACACATACATACATACATATATACATACATGTATATATGTATATATATCAGGAGACCAGAGTTTAGTTTCTTCAGTTTTTATTTTACATCCACCTTAAAGAGCAGCAGAAACACACCAGATGTTACTCCTTCTGTCGACGGGCTGGAAAGATGCTAATAAATTTGCCTGAGAGCCCTATAATGCTCTGCTCTGCTCTGATCTAAAAATCCCATTGATGAATTGGAGCCGCGCAGAGCTCTCAAGGTGAGTCAGACTCCTACCAATTTAAACTCCTCTCCCACGGCAGCCGCACACCTCGCCTCATCCTTCACTGCCACTCCTACATATGTCTGCACATGACACTTCATTTTCTCGTGATCGTCGACGGGGCGGCTGAGTGGGACGCTACAGAGGTGAAAACAAAGTAGATCAGAGGGGCAACAACACAGCAGCTCGGCTAACTGACTGTGAAGCACATTATCTTTGGCAAAGGTGTCGACAGGGATGACCAATATAGACCATGGGCCCAGCGTTCAGTCAGTTCAAGAGGAGCTGTATTTAATACTGCAAAAAAACCAAAGGCTCAGCTGATCATGCTGCCGAACTGATCAAAGAAAAAAATATGTTATACTCCTGAGATGTCTGCCTTACATCCAAAAAATTGGGACAGAGGAAACAAGACGTTTTCATCTGTGACTCACACGTAGAATTTTAACTAAGAAATGACTGACAAAAACCTGGCAAAGTTCAACGCACATTTAGTGAGCTGAATCCTAGTCTTTCATAAAAAAAATAAATAAATAAAAATGTCTCAACCTTTAATACCAGACCACCAAAACATAGCACCAGTTAAAATGCTATATCTGAGATCTCTCAAATTTGATCGTTATAATGTTAAAGACATACGTTTTATAAACAGGTGAAATGAGAGGTGAAACAAAAATGTATCTGCATTTCCATTTTATCTGCTTAAGACAAGTAGAGGCAAAATACCAAATGTTTTGTTTTTTTTTTCATTTTAAATGGTATTTCTAGCCAGTGTACCAACTGGGCCCCCAGGCTGTATCTTTGACCTCACTCTTCTAGAAAACAAGAACAAGAACCCATAGAGTGTGCAGTGTCTACATGTGTAAACTGTTAATTATTGTCAGACACTGGCATCGAAATAATCATTACATTTCTGACTCTTTGATAGTTAACCTTTCCATCTTTTATGGCGCCCACAAAATGACAGACACACACACACACACACACCCAGTACAAACGCAAACACTGACAGGTGAACACACCCACACTCTGCTCGTTAACTGACAGCCTCCAGGATGAGGTGATTTAGCTCAGGAGACTTCACGCAGACAGGGAGTCATACTGTGCTTCATCCAGTCTGGGATTTGTTCAATTTTTTGTGTCAAATCCCCATTACAGTGAAGCCGGAGGCATCTGTGCCAACAACCGTTACGTGAGAGTAGAATGTAACCCCCGGTGTCGCGGGTCACTGTCCAGGCGTCTGAAGCGAGATCGACTGCTCTGCTGTCAAGTCCATCAGGACATTGTGGTAATGACGTCCGGCTGTTACCGATGCTGCACGTGAAAACACACCGGACACACGGAGAAGAGCGCCGAGACGTGCTGCTGTATGTTCACCTGCCTGAAGGTTTACTGCAGTGCGGGGAAGTGCAGAGATATTTTAGATATATTTTAGATGTAGCCACAGATTTGTCTAACCATCCAGAAAGATAAAGCTCAACACTGTTTTAAAGCTTGTTCAATTCTCTACAAGTTCTGGTCCTAAAACAGAAACTCACAGAGATTTTAAATAAATCTAAGTTGCATGAAAATATCAGCTTTGTGATGAAACTCTCTGTTTTTGACAGATTAAAAGTTACAGGCTGAGTCACGGCGCCTAAATGAAGTTAAACAAACACTGATGCAGTTTCTTTCTTCTCACACATTTCCAACACGGTTTTAATGCTAACACTGCCATCTAGTGGCCACTAAAGCGCATTTGTTTTGTTTTAGGTTTAACTGTTGTACTGTATGTATAACACACTTTAACAAGTTGTCTACAGTAGAAACAAATTTTATTGTGGATTATAAATTTTCAAATCTGTAATATTTAACGGTGAGACAGATTTATATAAATATAAAATACTCATTTTATATTTAATTTCACACAATATGTCTATGGACCCTACAGTGACCTCAGAACACTAGTGGCATTTAGTGGAAACTGCACCCTGCCAAACAGTAGAATTTCCTTCAGTCTGTCTTTATTCCTGTGTCAAACGCTGTGTATTTACTACACTGTGTTATTTAAAGTTCCACTGCTTTACAGTCTATATCCACACGTCCTTGTACTGAACATAAAAAACAAAGTTCACTGCGTTTGTCCAGGTCAAATCCACTGATAAGTGAATAAATCCTCCTTTTATCATATAAAGCAGATACAACATCAACTGGAGATAGGAGCGACTCTGAACAACAAACATAAATCCACCGACAGTGGAACAGCGCTCGTGTTCAGGACGCACGTCCCAGTTTCTGTGAGTTGTGACCAATGTGACGTGGAGTGAATTTAAATGACAAGGAACTTTTTACTGCCTTGAAATAAAGAGTTTTCTACTTTGAAAGATGAGTAAAAATTGCTTTCCAGCTAGGACATTTTTACACACAACCATGTGTCTTGATCCTTCGTAAGGCAGATTGTCACAAAAATTATTTATTGGGTTTATTTTTATGGTTGATGGATGAAGTCACCCTTCTTCAACAAGGGTTTGTTCAGGACGGTGGGTACATTTTCAGGAGATAAGACACTTTTTATATGTGGTCTACTTTTACTGTGTCCATCACCACAGCAGTGGAGAAATAATCTGGCAGTTTCTACCCCTGACGTCCCTCCTGGCACAACCTAGACCTACATGGAATCGAACCCGCAACCTTCAGATGGCATGTGGAATATGTTGCCCATATGTATTATCAATACAAAAATATAAATAAACCTGTGTATTATTTGAACAGCTGAGTATTGAGATTACATTGTATATTCATACACGGCACAAGGGCCAGTGTTACGAAAAACTATTAAATCAGATGTACAGTATAAAGTAGCAGCAGCGTCTCCGTTTCTCTAGATCTGAAACACGATGAGGAGAGCTGGCTCTCACTGTTCAACTGAAATGAAAACTTTAAAACCTCCATCATCGATTTGGATGAAAATCTATTTTTAATCGCCACATGCCTTCTTGTAAGTTTATATTGGAGTAATATATATGTAATAATAATAATTGCATATTATTATTGTAATAAATTGCTTTGACATTGCTGAAGGGTTAATATTATTCTGACCAAAATGTTCAAAATGTAATTTAAATCTTATTATTTTGTCACATAAAGGCTGTAGAAATGCTTTACTTTAAATTCATGCACAAGTTCAAGTCATTTTTATGCACAGACTGCATACGAACAGTGATCTCTGTTAGCTTTTTTTATAGTTATCGTGAGAGGCAGATGTCATCAGCACCAGCAACTGTAGACTTTCAAATTTTCCACTGAACTCTGGCTCCAACAGAAAAAAACTTTGTCTTCCACGTGAACAGATTTAGGCCAAAACTCACAGACAGAGTTTCTGAATTACAGGTTTACATGGAACAAATTTCTCAGAGTCAAAAATAACTGTGACCTTTAAACCTGCCTTACTGTGCAAATATATGTTTTCATTCCATGTCCACAAACCAATGATCAAACGATTGTGGGGTTGTTTTTACCTGAAAGTATAAAAACTTTCAGGAACATCAGTGTAAAGTACACACCTCCTGGACAACCAAAGTCACTGCACTGCAGTGGGTTTTTTTGTTATGCCAACATTTAATGTCGTAATTTTCTTTGTATTTGGTTTTTTTTTATTTTTAATTATACTGATTAGTAGCTGAATGTCATGTGAACAGGCTGAACTTTTATTTTCTTGTTTTCCCCACATTGTTGTGAGAATTAACGTAGATCTCCTACCAGGCCGGGCCTCCGTACAGTCTTTGTTTCAACAACAACACGCACACACAGCCAAAATACATGTTTTTGTTTTCCACCTGCGCCAGCCTGACACAGGCAATTACAGAGTTCTGTTTCTCAAACAGACATTTTGTTGTGACGACACACAATAAAATGGACACCCTCACAAAAAGCCACAGATTTCAAAATCACACAAACTATTTATCTTTAAAAAAAAAGAAAGATAAACACAACCAGAATCACCGGGGGTTTTTGGGACATAAGTGATGTTGATGATCTTGCTCTCCCTGTGAGTCTGGTTTCCATGTTTGAGTCATGGATATAAAAAGGCTGAATGGGAAGAAAATATCAACAGTGCAACGTGGCACTGGACAGCTGACTGGTTTCACCACTGAGACTCATTTCCTCCAACGGGACTTTTGCACACTTAACCCTTTAAGCCATGGGTCATGAATTACACTCAACTATACATGCTAACCGTGCATATAGTCAACCTATAGGTCTGACTTATATGACTTACATTTCGTACAGTACACAAAATGAGTGACTATAAACACATTTCACATTTCAATTAAAACATAATATAGTTGAAACACATTTCACATTTCAATTAAAACAGAATATACTTTTTTTTTAATCAAACAGTTACATAAACAGGCTAATATTTGTGTCCAGTTGACATGTTATCAGTGTGTGACCTTACAGACCATGTTCAGGTCAAACCTTTTGTAAGCCACTGTTGAAACCTTATCAGGACACAAAGTGCATTTAGAGTTATGTCACGAGGTCAAGTGTAAACAAGGGCTGGGAAAAGTGCTGGCACTCACTGCAGGAGCTCAGTGCCGGGGTCTCTCACCTGTTTGGGGTCATCGTAGAAGACGCCGATGGAGCTCAACTTCGGCCCAATGCTGCAGCTCTCCGTGTACGACGCGCCACAGTCTTTGTAGGATCCCTCTTTAAACTTATAAGCAATGGTAACGTTCTTAATAGGAGGGGGCCCGGTCTTTATAATCACGTCCGACAGGAGCCCAGAGAAAAGCACGAAAGCCCCGAGTGTCACTAGCAAACACAGCAAGAGCGCGACTATGAGGAGCAACAGCACCAGGTCGGACATGGTTCCTCAAAACGCTGTAGTTAAACCCGACGTAGAAAAACAATCAAAGTCAAAGAAAGAGCGTCCTCCACTGTGATACACACAGCGTCACTGTGGTCACTTATACTTATATAAACCGCCAAATAAAAAAACCTTTACCGAGACACGACGTTAAAACTGCTGCCCGCGACACAAGAGTCACGAAAGGAGAAAACACTCGTTCGTGACCAGAGGGGGGAAAAACGCTAGTTTGTTTAGGGTATTTTTCCCTAAACAATGGAACATGCTTCCCGGAAAAACCATTGTCCTGCATGTTGGAGTGAGGTATGGATAAACGTTCGCGACCACTTTTTGTATAATCACATTTTAGCTGTAATAAAATGTAAATAATAAAACTACAAAAGAAGTAAATCCGTGAATATTCTTTTTTTTTAGTCACAGGAACATTTTAACGACCACCATTCACGAATCGTCTGTAAACTTCTCACCCTTATTTCTCGTAGTTGGTACGGTCCAACTGCTGCCGAAAACGGACAGCGGTGTAATATAAGATTTAAAGCTGCGGTGACTTTGTCTTTTTTCCCGGTGAACATGGCCTGTTTTCTTGTTTTTTTTTTTCTTGTGCTCAGTAAAATAATGTAAATATATCTTATCTGTTTCTACAGCGACGCTCAGTAAAATAATGTAAATATATCTTTATTACCGTATCTGTTTCTACAGCGACTTAATTCTTCTCACCCGGAGTTTGAAAGTTTGGACGATTTACACGAGTTATACGAGTTACACCAGACATAACTGAACTAAATAATTTTATAGAAATAAATAAATCAAAGTTTCAATATTTTCTTGTCATCAAGCTGTCCGTCCTGCCATACTTTACATGACTGTACATTTGCTAGAATGAAATATAAACATTTACTAAGTGTAAATTTAAGATGATATATAAAGTTCCTGTGTATTTTATTTAGAAAATTGAGAATTAAAAAAAGTTATGATTCTTATAAAATATGTTCACTTTTACAAAATACTGAGCAGAAGTCACTAATGTTTGTGAAAAAAAACATAGACTGATGAAAAAACATCGACTGATGAAAAATTATAG